CATGATAGGAATAGTGTCTTCTACGATCCATAGTTACCAAGCAGTCCCCGCTATGAGACACAAATACAATAGTCGACTAAAATGATAGCAATACGTAACGGAAAATCATACCAAACTTTTTGGTCAGGCAGTTTCTATTCCGCAGAAAGAAAGCTTCCTGTAGTACATTTGTTTACTTCTGATATCGTTCAGAAAGTTCCTGGGCTGATGCATACAGACAAAATATAATATATTCTGATGATGATAGTTAGAATAATAGTTATTATTACAGATATTCGTTTTCGCAGCTTTAAGTCGACATATCTTTCTTGCACATCTTGTCTTCCTGAAGTTTTTTTGTCTGATCTCACACTATTCTTCCGTAGTCTGATTTCAATTTACAATCATGCGCATTTCCGACATGCGATCATCTTGTGTATGGGTTGTTATCATTTGCGCTTATCAGAAAATGACTGAAAACGTCGCAACTCTTACAAAAACTATACATCGATATGAAACCGAACAAAAACCAGCGACATTACCAAGCGCGAAAAGTAGTCGGTAGCTCGACAATGTGCACCTAGTGCATTTTTTTTAATGGCCTTGTAAAATGATCGAGACGGATTTCTATTTGGCCAAGCCCACTAAGGAACTAGAAGAGGTTACCAGGCAGAGCACATGACCTGGGTCATGTGCGAATAGGGGCTGTGATACGGTTGGTTCCGAGACCACAGAGAAACAACACAGGATGGCTACGAAGACACAGTATCGGTTTGGGAACTTTTCGTCTGCCGTCTGCCACGGCCGCCTACTAAGCTGTTCGTCGAAGTAACAAAGGCTGGTAGTCCTAAAGGTCCTAAAACTCCTTAAAAGCGATCTGTGTGTAGTTTGAGACGGAGAATCGGCGCTAATCGTTAGCTGTTCAAGGTCTTGCCTCACACACACACAAACGTCCCATCCAGATATGTACATTGTTCTAATACAGTAAATCTTGAAACACCAAGTTAAATTACATTTATAAAGTAGTTTATCACGCCACGATCACATATTTGTGAATAAACTTATTAACCTGACATCCAAATGTTCATCGTGTATTAATAGTGAATGGATATACTTACTCGTCCCTTTGATTAGGAGTAATATCAAATATTATAATTATCAGACATTTAGATTTTCAAGAGCGTTCACATGAATATAACGACAACCATTAGTACGGCAATGCCCTGATGCATAGTAAATGACTAAATACATAGCAAAGCCCGCGCAGACACCTGGCATGCACCGCAACACACGAAGCCTTAAGGGGCACCCTAATAAAGAGGAAGAAACCCTTGTGGCGATAGTCTACCATTGCAAAGAGGAATTCAGGGTAAAACGAAGCGTTTGAATGGGATCTTTATTAAAAATTCTCGCAGTGCTCTTACCGCCTTTTTTTTCATTTTGCTATTCACCGCAAAAGGCAAAAAATAGAGGCTTGCCTACAGCTATCAACCGACAGTCGGCCTGACTGGCGCCGCCATCGCGTCTTCGTTGAACGGATACCTTAAGTCCGGCCGCCACGAATGAAGTTAGGTAAGTCCCTGTGCCTAATAGGTCATGGTGTGCGATTAGCGCGATCCTATTGATGTTTTTACCCACGTTATTACTTGCTACGTTGGCTGATGCAGACCCTCTAACGCTAGGACATTTGCAGCGTCGACTGTCGAAACCGTTCTAACAGAAACGTTGGCTATTATGGCATTTTTCTTTTAGCTGGCTGCTTCAAAAATCAACTACAACCCGTATCGGTCGACACCCTATCCTAGAGCATCTAGCCTATATTTGAAGGGTTTGACTCAGGAAACGGGTAACCTAGCCAGAGCAGGTCGGTCTGGGAACGGGGGCATAGTATGGAGGACAAAATGCTACCCCGCAAAAGGGTAGTTGTTTGGTTGGTAAGTGAAACAATGGCTGCCGACAGACAGAAGGCATATAGGGAAAAGGGGAACAAGGAAATAGAAATTATAGACAATTTAAAACAGGCCCGTCCGGTACTTCATTTTTGTATACCCGTTACGACGCTTCAATTCCAGCAAAACCGACGGCAACAAAAATTGACTGGCGGTTGCCGTCCAGCATCGACAGGGATCGCGCAAAGTGAACGGGCCTTGTTAATAGGCAAACATCAACTACCATACTAGACTCGACTTGAATATCGCAGTCTTAGCCTATTTCGGAGTAAGTTATTGCACCCTTGATTACAATGCTTAGAATAGCTTTCAGCATACGAACAATTAATGAGAAAACGTGAATTTTGAAAAGCAAACCTAATTTTTTTTTCCTACCTAACTAGATACACGAGAGTACACTAGCTGGCTGGAAAATAGGGGAGCTCGTTGTGGCTAGAAAGACCAATTTATACTGATTGTGATGACTAGGGCGCGCTGACAATCAAAGCTTGCAGAATGCAATGACTAACGACGATTAGTGATGAAGCCCTAAAGCCAATAAAGCATGGGAACATTATTGCACCTATAAGGTGCTCAAAAAAAGAAAGAGACTTTTTTTTTGGAAGAAATCTAACGAGTGTTTGACCTATCTGTTTGACTTTCAAAAAATGTAGCTTCTTTTCTTTTGTTCATACATATATAAGTGTAGCTGCCGTGTAATTAGAACTCAAAGGCAAATACATTTAAGCTAGTGCATTCTATATTGTATCAATAATAACAAACATTAGAAGCTAAGTCGTACGAATTGCAAAAGTAAACAGGGATCAAATAGGGGTCACCTGTAATTCAGTCGGTGAAAGCCTTAGGCAGTGAACGAAACCTGTACGCTTCATCGTTTTTTAATCTTGCCACAACGTCGGGCTTTCAGCTGCTGATTATATTGATATAGCAGTACTCGGATACATTTTTCGCTACCACATAAAATACTATGACACACACGCACAGACACATAGTATCTATCTGTATACAGTGGATGCCGTGTATTTTCCGTACTGTTTGCGTTTGTGTCTTTAGCTATTCCCTCAACTGTAGGAACTACAATACGGGTATGTGTAGCAGCCTAGGAAGGACTAGCAATTACTTGCAATATCAGTGCAGGCGCTGCTATGTATCTTGTATTCGGTACTCACCTTCGAGACGGGACCGCTAAGGCTTAAATGCAGAGATGAGAAATGGCTACGGCCGCGGCTGATGCGGCAGCATTCGACTGTCACTGACGTTGTCAGTGAAAAGGGTTTACATTTAGCAAGGCCATGTATATTCATACGTAGATACCTTCGTGTCCGGCCTTCTGTAATACGTAACAAGCGACTAACCTATTATGGCAAGTTATTATTATGACGGCCGGTATAACTTATTATTGTATGCCTACCCATTCGTTCATTTTGCGCTCGTACCAATCTCTCTCTATATGTTTCAGTTGTCCTTACAAGGAATCCTCCGCACAGGGAACGTTATACCCCAGGGCATGAATGCCAAGCACTAACATCGCGCAGTACCAGCTGCGAATCCACCGTCAATTCGGTCTACTTTATGCAATAACAGGCATAGTCGCGACAGTATAAATAGTGGCATTTTTCACACAATAGTAGAAACAACCAAAGGTTAGAGACAATGCCTCAAATTTCAAGAACAGAACGGCTTCGCAATATGTTGCGCTTTGGATGAGGTTACTGAAGTTCGGTGGAGTGTGTTGATTTGTGCTATACAGGTGGAATGGGTAGACGACAACCTTCCGCATCTACTTCTGCCAGTCAAAGCTACCAGCTGGCGATGACATTGTGATGTCATCCCAGCGATAAATTCTTTCCTTTACAGTCTTCTATCTGTACATACAGCCTGTTATAACTTGGATAGGTAGGTCGCTGCTTTGCAGAAGATAGAAACGCTGTTAACAGGAACCATAGTATCAGCGGTCGGAAAAGTCGCAACCCTGGTAGTAGCGGGCTCGTCAAGTTGCCCACACAAAAAAGGAAGGTGCTATGAAGATTGGCTACCTAGGCGGCAGGCTACTGAGGGAACGTATCAGTTCATATCCGGCAGAATCCCACTAACTAGTTATAAGCAACAGGCGTGGAGGTCTCTACGGATAGTCAAGCGAACACGACGAGGAGAGTAGTATGTAAGTTGGCCAGGTGCTGGGAAAAAGCTCCTGTCCACTGCAACAGAACGGCAGGTGACAAACATTGAAATCTGGATTTCATTATGAAACCGGGAACCCTTAAAGGATAAGCCGCAAGTGAGGTTTCCGAATACCATAAATTGGAGGCGTTCAGTTTAGGTCATAAATAAGCTAAGGCATCCAAGTGGCCTCAAGCCTGTACCCCAATAAATCTAAGTTTTTGTTATACTATGATACTTGCGATGGCTACTTGTTTCACTGGCTTCCCAGTCAATAGTAATAATACTACTAGACAGTCTACTGCTTAGAAGCCTTATGGACTGCCTTTCACCTACATATGTTGACGTCGTACGTGATGTACGATTACATAGTAATTCACGATCAAACGGATACCTACGATACGAGACTATCTATTGTAGGAGACAATTAGGTAGAGCTACCTGCTCGACGTAGCCGTACAACTTGTCTTATGTAGACACCGTAGAGTACAGAGAGAATCCGAAAGCCGTCTGAACACCGTAGAAGGAGAGACCTTTTTGCCTCTATACTACATGACAAGTGTATGTTTTTTGTTTACTGGTAATATAATAAATCTATCCACTTAAGAGTTGTTTCGTTGGTCAGAGTACATCTACATTGACTTGATACAGCCTATTGTAATATTCAACTTCGTTTATAAAATGCTTTGTATGTGCGTCCTGTAAGAGAATTGTCGCAAACTCGTTAAACGACGCATCCTAATTTATCAGATTAGCTCTGTTTCAATAGAAACGTCAGATTTATTAATCGTGTGTGTTATTAGTTTGAGGTAAATATAACAGAAGGTTCAAGTACCTTGGAGGAATCTATATACTAAACTAGTTCCTTTATTTAAACCTAATTTAACTGGCTACTCTTAACTCATATTTCAGGTAAGTTGCAAACGGAAAAAGGGGTGGTCGCTGTAAATAAATCGAGTAAGTGGAATACACGGACGTCTGTGAAAAGCGTAAGGCACAAGGCACTAGAAACGTAGATATGCATATTAGGCAGTGCTTCTGACATTTACATATGTCACAAGTTTATGAAGAAGTACCGTGATGGTGCCGTGGTAACATATTTAGCTCTAAACTTAGGGACATCTGATAGTTCAGACGCACCCATACTTTGTTTCGTGCTGGAAGCCGACTATCAGACGCCCTCCACCCAGTATCAGGAACAAAACTCGAAGTATTCAGTTGTACAGAAAGGTCGACGCTGTTAACTTCACAAATGTGTCTAATTTTAAATTAGTTAAAATAATTAATCGGCTCTCATCAGAGACCATTCTACACTGGACCTAACCCGAAGTGATTTTGGAGTCGAATCAAAAATTCCCGTCCTGTAGTTCATTTGCCTCGATGTTATAAATTTGTGGGCTGTATCTGCGTCTTACCTGCAACCTAGCAACACGCACAGGACTCACAAAAAATAAAAGTCTTCAAATATCGATATGCCCTTTGATTTAGCTCATTTTTTCCACTCGTCACAATAGACCGTTTACCGTGTACGTAGACCGTGTATTAGAAGGAGCCCCCGTCTCTAGCCTAAATTTAACGTTAGGTATGTAGTGTTTCTAGATGCAATATAGGGATTGCCGATAAGCGCCACATCAAAGTTTTGTCTTCACCTTTGTGAGTCCTCTCCCCACGTTTTCAACATATCACACTGCAATAAAAAAGCTATTCGTGTTCACCAATTTCTCTACTTACAGCCTCTGGCTAAAAACTAGACCCGTACCTCTGTGGAACGTTAGTTCAGGTTTGGCTGAGCAAACATTTTAAGAAAGGCGGTCAGTTGCTACTGACTCATTCAGGTGTAGTGTCCTGAGGCCCATTCCCGCCTATTCGTATGCCCATAAACACGTATCTATTCTTCTAGTGGGCTTCTGCGGGTCACACATTGTGGAAGGACATAATGCATTTTGCAACTTGGCTAGAGGCAACCGGGCGATAGTCTGAATTGATGATGGTATTTTAGCTACTTTTTGGTTACCTGTATTCTCTCCTTAAAAGAACTATTATTATTATGTTTGTTTTCATGTCCGCTTGCAACGACTTCCTTGTGGCGAACCAGCACATGGTGAAACAACATGCCGCAAACGTCGGTCACCGGTACCTGTACAACCTTGTTCTCCCTATTACTGGACCTTTACCTCGTCTCGCTCTATAATACAATATTACATTTAATTCGTTGATTGTGCATGAGCGCGAACTGACTGTCTGGCCGACGGAAGCATTGCTTACTTGCTTGCTAAGTCTTTTGTATACTCTCGTAGACACTTTAATACCTGTAAATATTCTAAACAGATGCCAGTACATGTGGTGTCTTGAAGTGCTAGCATACCAATCCACAGAGCTACCAATAAACAGCCAACGCATTCGTAATCTCTAACATAGCAGCGTCAGAAACGACCATAGAGGAAGGCCAATTGTCCCTCTATGATGGGCAACCGATGTGACTGAGGGATATTAGGGTATTAACAAAAAAAAAAGAAGCCCTGAGTAGGGCTTGTTTGCCGCCTACTACAGTAATGATTGCCGCTTACAGGTGTCGTTATAAAACGTTTGTGGTATCATTGCATATATTTAGATATATATTTTTTGTCTGATCAATATATTTGTATACATCTTACATTGGGACATTGTTTTGTACGATGTATTACATTTATGAAGACCGTGAAGATTGTCACCGAATAATACAGAAGGCTCTCTAAGATTCCCCAAATCACTCTACGAGGTGCTATCAAGTATAGAAAGCAGACGACGGACTATTAGTTATTTCGACGGTCCTGATTAAGGTAATGCAAGGATAATAATTCTTTCATTGATGCCGATTCGTTTCAGGTAGCTAGCGGGCATGCTCGCCCACATCGGGGCACAACTGCAATCGTTTCAAAGATACATAATATCTTTTTGTATTTACCGTGTTTAGTTTTCTTCTTCCTGCAGCCCTCTTCTTCCTGCAGTTACCGAGGCCTCTCTAGATTATAATCACACGTTCAGTTTTTCTGCGCAGAACACTAAGACAGAACACGTTTGCGCTTTTCTTGACAGTTGGTGTTGGCCCCTCAACTTTGGACACACTAGGTAATCAATAGGAACGAGCAGGGTCAAACTGCCACGGAGGGCAAAAAGAGTTGCATTTCTCCAACCTAACTACGGCATCGGAATCGGTATCTACTCTTTAAGCTGTCGTCGACTCGACGTCGTCCGCCATTGCCATCCCCACTGTCAGAACCTCGTGATGAGCAGCATCGCTCGAGCACTCTCATAGCGTATATGGCAGTTTGCCAGATTCTTCAGCTAAGTTACATTGTCAAGCGCACCAGACGGCATCTGCGTGCTTCCCTGGCTCCAGATAGCTGGCTCCACTCTCTTCGACCAAGGCGCGGCCACTAGATCGAAGGCAAGCGAAAACCTCTTTATACTTTACATCTTCCTGGTTTTCACTTCGTTTCGTCGTCGGACTACAGCCGACGTATTCATCTAGCCTCATGGCAGCTGCGAAAGCCTTTTAGCTTTCGCTTTCATTAACATCGGGTTGCTACTCCTCTAGCTGCTTAAACGAACCAATAGCAGCGTTGGAAGATGCTTGCAACAGAGATAGGGGTGTGCAAGTTGATTAAGAAGGTACGCGAAAGAGCAATGCGGCCGAAATAAAAACCCAACGAGTTGCCCAGAGATAATAGCAGCATCGTCAACAGCAGGAGCATATGGAACCAGGGAGGTACAAACTAAACTTTTCCCTCCCTCTCCCCATCTTTCCCTCTATCTCGCTGTGTATGTCTACTTTGATCGATCGCTCGATTTGTCATGGCTTTTTCCTATCAAAAGCAAAAGAAAACGAGCAAGAACAAGGAAACGTTTGCATTGGCTACAGTGACTGGCTCTATCGCAATTTGATCAAAAATCTCGTATTGAAAAAATCTTTTTAGTCTGAGCTATGACCAGCTTTGCTCGACCGGAGAACAAGAGCAGGGAGAGAAGAGAAAAGAAATAATCGAACGACACCGCTGCACTATTTGTTTAAGATGAAGAAGTCACGCTTCCACGCGCTCCGCTACGTTCGCTCTGATTAGTAGAGCTGTTAGACTTATTATCGGCTCACTCTCATTGCCCCTCTCAAAAAATTCTCCTTTCCAAACCCTAGGCAAACACCAGGCGCTGGGAACAGCACCATCATTGTGACAACGCTGTCAAAAGCATGTACAACAATGACTTCGGCAAATTCTCCCAACCGGAACGTACTTGGCCTGTTTTTCCTTGTCACCACAAACAGCCCATTGACCTTACCTAAGACGAATTCGAAATTCACTTTGGACTGATGAAAAGCAAAGCGGCAAGGAATGAAAAGGCAGGCAGACGAGCGCAAATAGCCCATATCATCTGCACCTGCGTGCCTGCTGCTATTTTCTTTTTTAAATAAAAAATGGGACTGCCACTGTTCTTCTGTGCTGCTTCTGACTGTATTTCGCTTACTGTCACTGTTACCTTGGACCGTTTTATCTCTGCATCTCGCCTGCTCTCCATGTTCTCGTACCCAGCTCAAGAGGAGTGAAGTTCAAATTGTGACGGTTTTTTTCCATCGATTGTCGATTCGTTTCATTTGAAGGCTCGATTGTTCACTCCTGTAACCGCCTCGTGGTAGTGGTAGATGGCAGTCCTAACACGTATCAGCAAACCTTGCTTTTTGCACCTTCGCCTTGGGAAATTTCCTCTCCCTTTGCTGTCGCCCCGTCGGTGCCTCCCGCCGCCGACTTACCGGGTTCTGACTCTCCCCAATGAGGAGGCGATCCCGAGGTGGCTCCGGGAAATGGCTGATCTCCGACTGTTCCCTGTCGAGCGCCTAACACCTGCCACAGGGCGTGTTGCCTCTTGAAAAGAAACAACTCCAAAGAGGATAAAGAAGGGAGTAAGTGGATGGGCCTTAGACCTTCCCACCTAGGCACCCTCACTCACTACCTGTGCTTTTAGCAAAGAACAGCTAGACGAGCCGAGCAAAGCAGTGGAGAGAGCTTCAAGTCGAGTAAGCAAGCACGCTTACTGATAGTAAGCAGGCTTGAAGAAGAAAGCAGGTCGGCTCTCTAACACCACTAGCATTGTTTTCTCTCTGACATTTGTTCCAGGAATCGTGAAAAGGGTGGTAAATGATAAGCGTGACTATGCGCATGGATACAGTATGCAGCTCCTAATGAGCTTGCAGTAACACTCGATTAATCTCCAAAGCGAATTGGAGTGGATAGTCCTAGGAATAGTAGTGGTATCCGACTGATTTACGTGTAGACTCTTGAGACTTTTCCAGCAAAATCCTTTTTATCCATACATATAAATACAACACGCACACAGCCATATGTACCATTTGGGTGCCGTCTACTTGACAGTCTAAAATACGAAGAGAAGACAAGGAAAAAGAACAAATCATCGATATTTCCGTTATTTTCCGAGGGCATGGTCAAGACTGGTGTGGCCGTCAGGCCAGCCATGGCCGGTTATTCAACAGATATGACAATAAAGGTTCATTTTCAGCACGTCTACAGAGTATGGTATATTAAAAATTACTTTATTATCGGCTGTTGCTGATCGTTCATCGAGAATTTTTGTTGGTCAACGACGGTGGTAAGATGTTGACGCATACGCATTAATCTGCTCTCGGCAATAGTGGTAGACTCGCTATTGTGTCGAGGTTCTCTATGGAGTGTTCAGCTGTGGTCCTTCGTAGAGTTGTAGTCCTATTGCAAGCCGCGGCAAGCAAGGATATGTGCAGATAGCAAAACTTTACTAATCGGGGTCTCTTTTTGTTGAAGAGTCAAATGACAGGGCTTTTGGAGATCTAAAAACTACACCCGCTATAACGTTATCTTTCTGCGCCACACTTCTAGCAGCTAGCTGGGGTGCCAATTCCATTTTATAATACCATGGTTAAGATGATAGCGTTCTACTATATCGTGACATTCTAGTACGTTTTTATGGTGATTGTTGAACTAAATTTATGCACTCAGCCGCAGAAGTGAGTTTGTGCAGCCTGTGATCATATGAGCCTTCTTATTCTTCATCTCCAGTGCAACCGGGACTGAATACAGAACTAACATAGTATATATGTTAAGATACTCGTTATTTGTCGAGTTGACGAGACTGAACGACGCAAACGGACTAAACACGAGAAATATCGGCGCTTACGGCTGTATCACATGCCTAGCGCCACCGAACTACGTTGAATGAAGGATCCGGAAGTCCGAATAGAAAAAGCTATATTTCAAAGCTGTTTCGAGGTTGTCCAAAGCAACCGCTATTAGAATGATTCTCGATAGATTCTGACGCGACAGCTCACGGCTGGTTAATGTAACTGGTGACCCAGATAAACCTGTTTGTTCAGTCGACGGTACTCGTGAAGCCCACAACTCCTAGAGACAGAAGAACTAGCTAGATAGCAAGAACTAAAAATTGCAGAAGGGTCTCAAGTGCCAGCCAACAATGCTGTTGCCAGAGTCATTGGATACTTCCTAATGCAAATAACCCAGGTAGTTATGGCAGCTGTGTGAAGAAACGAAGGCATCGGGCATCTGTGTGGGTGCCTTCCTTTAAACGTTATCAAATCAAATAAAAAGGTTACTCAACACGAACTAAACACATCAATACGTCGACAAAGTAAAAAGCAGGCCTTACTCAAAAAGAACGACGTATTTATGGCATTTGGGCTCTTCACAAACTGCCCATAGCGATACCTAAGCGGGTGCTAGTGTACGTCGTGACGACAATGGCGGCGGCGTGCTGAGAACGACGGAGGAGTGAAGACAGAAGTAACTCCGCACCAGTGCACAGCCCCTACGCTGAGTACTTTGAACGTGAATTATGCAGCAGTAAGCTTCAATGGTAGAAATAAACAGCGATCCAGCATAGCTTCGAGCGTATTAATCATTCTTTCGTATGTTGTAACTTCATTGCTACCGTTTATGTCTCTGTGGGTAATTGGCTGCCTGTCTCTACTCAGGCCCCGTTCTTAGAAATTACTAACAATTTACTGAGTAAGCAGGCGAGCAAGCCTACTTGGGAACTAAGGGGCAAACGTGCGAGCAGATACGTTAACTATCAACAATGCCTTACCAATGTTTTTG